ATTGTCCATAATGATTTATTCTGCAGAACTTAAAAAACTCATTTGTATTCTAAAAAGTTTATCATATGGAGCATTTTAAAATAAAATACTTAAATATTTTGAATGATACAAATATGGAAACTTGAGTGGAGTTTGAAGATCTTCCATGACATTTACAGGTGTTTAAAAACAGTACTCTAGAGGGAACCATGAAGTATCTACATTGACCTTATTGATATCAAGAATAATGGCATCCACTAATAATCAATTTTAAGTCTCAATTAGCCGGGGGCCAGTGATATGGCATAGTAGGCTCAGCTTCTGCCTGTGGTGCCAGCATCCCATAAGGGCACCTGTTCGTATCTTGGCTGCTCCTCTTCTGATTCAGCTCTCTGCTTGTGGCCTGGGAAAGCAGTGGAAGATGGGCAAGTGCTTGGGTCCCTGCACCCCCATGGGAGATCCTGAAGAAGCTCTTGGTCCCTGGTTTCTGGTTGGTCAAGCTCTGGCTATTGCAGCCATTTGGGGAGTGAACCAGTGGATGGGAAACCTTTCTCTCTATCTTTCCCTCTCTTTGTAACTCTGCCTCTCAAATACATAAATGAAGTCTTTAAAAATAATCTCAATTAGCCATGATATAAGGTTCAGTCTGTACTAAGAGCAAATAGTTTATCAAAAATAGCTGATAAATAGCAAAATGATATGATTCTATATTTTACCATAACTTAATAAGTCATAATTAGATCATCATGAAATAAGGGGACTATAATTATTGATTCATCCTTCTAATCCTTTTATTTATGTTACAAAATGTATTTAGTTCTGAATTCAAAAGACCTTTAACTAGTTCTACTGTTAAGCTCTAAGGGTCAAAATACCTTCTCTTAGAGATGCAAGCTAAGTTAGTTATCACAGTAGATTTCAGTGTTGCCTAATGAAATTCTTTTGATATTTTTCCAGAGGCATTTGTAGAGAGAATCCTGAAAACACTTTGTTTTAGGAAACATTGGCTTAGTATTAGCAGTTTTGCACACAGACTGAGCACAGAGTAAACATCTAGTAAGTGATTTGGAATTGCAACTGGATGATATTCTTTTGAGTAGCCTTTTTTTGTGGGGGGGGGGGGAGGAGATCTGACTTCATTTTATCCCCTAAGTTAAATCTGATCTAACAGTTTTATAGCTACATATTAGTTGTGTTTATGTAGTAACTTACTTTGCTTGCTGATGTTGGAATTGACTCTACAAGTCAACAAATCACTCCATAGTTTATTCAAGTGCTTGTTATTTTTAAAGTGCCTTGGAAAGAAATGAAAGCAAGTTCTAAAATGCATATCCACGTCTGTATGTAGCTGTGGAATATGACAGATATGACAGAATTTTTGTCATCTCATTTATTTTTTAAATAAATCTTTATTTATATATTTGAAATGCAAAACTATAGAGAGAAGAAGGAAGAGAGAGATTCTGGTTCACTTCCCAAATGGCTACAACAGCCAGGACTGGGCCAGGCCAAAGCCAGGAGCCAGGAGTTCTTCTGGGTCTCCCATGTGGGTTCAGGGGCCTAATGAGTTGGGCCATCTTCTGCTGTTTTCCCATGTGCATTAGCAGGGAGCTGGATCCAAAGTGGAGCAGCCAGGACTACAAACAGTGCCCCTATGGGCTTTACCTACTATAGCACAGGGCTGACCGCTTGTCATCTCATTTCAATTCTTAGAGTAAAATCTACTTTCTCAGAATGCTTATTATTATTTTACAAGTTATAAAAATTCGAAATGTTAATATAGTAGACTTATAATTACCTACCAGCAATTTCTCCAATATTGAGGCAATTTCATTTATATTAAATGTATAAAATTGATAATTAAATGCATGGATATTTAATTAATTAAAAAACTGCCTGTTGTGTCACTGTTTTTATAATAGCCAAAATGAATTTATTCAAGGTATAATGAATTTGCAGAAGTGGCTGACTGTGGGCTTGCACAGACAGAACACATGGCAGAGGGCACAGCCCTCCAGCAGTTTGGGTCTTATATAACTTAGGGTAGGCTAAGGGTCTGGAAGGGAGGGCAGTGGGCAGAGCTAAACTACTTCATACAAGTTTTTTCTCAGGCTTTCAAATTGGACAAGAATGCAGAGGGTGGAGTAGGAAATAATACAGGGCGTGGGATTGAGCTGGTTTCTTGAAAGAAGGCAGGGGTTAAGGTGTCCCTAGGGGAATTTTATCTGCTTTCAGGCAAGGAGATAAAATGGCAGAGGCTTATGTCCTTGTTCCATCAATCCTGACTCTGATTATAGATAGGGAGATGAAAAAATAGGAATTTATTCCAAGTGTTTGAATATGTTGAAACATGGATCTTCTTGTGTGGTTGCTAGGATATTCTAGATATAAAAATAATGTTATACATTTGAGTAATCTTGTTCTTGCTGTGTGAGCAAATACTTGATTATTAGGAGAAATAAATAATCAGAATTGCCTTGTATTGAAACAAACCTATAGTCCCACGTTACAGAAACCTGGGGTGGGAAAACTCATTTGTTCAAACAGGCACCAGAGACAGAGGAGGCTCCAATCAGTTTATTAACGCCAGCAGGCTCAGCTAGAATCATTTCCTGAGAACTGAGCATCAGACTCATTTCTTACAATATTTATAGGCTCATCAGCATCGTACCTTAGCTGTTACAGCATTGGTGGGTTTAAATGGCAGCCTAGGTGACTTAGGACCACACAGCCAATGGTTGGTGGGTCTGGTATGTTTGTGAAAGATATACCTGAGGCAGATTTATAGGACAGATTTATGACTGGAGTTTACAGAAGCAGAACTCAGGGCATCTTCCTCCCCTAGACAAGATCACAGTGGGCAGCTGTTCACTAGGTAATTGCGAGCAGCCACCTTTCAAGGTTTGTGTTGGGAGGGGGCCCGCTTTTCTTTTTTGTCTCTGTTTGTGGCCATATTTCCTCTACACCAACTAATAGGTATACTACATTTGTAAGTCACGGATTCCAACACTGTTCTTTATTAGGAAGATTAAATCCCAGACTTTCAGTTCAGAATTTTCATAGAAGGATGCAGAATTATATTTCTGGGAATAATGATTTATTTATTTTTCTTTTCAGGTGAGGCTGCAGAATTAGTTATTTCCCAAAATTAAAATTGAATAACTTTTGAATCTTACTTCATCCTTGTATAAAGTTGTTTAGCTCTCACTTTGTTACAGAGATACAAGGTAAAAGGGGACAGTATTAAACATTATTGATACCAATATTCCCTTGACTTAGACAAATTTTATTGACTTACTAGAAATGACCATTCATCTCTGGTCATAATTAATTTGTGAACTGTTAGAAGGTCCTTTTTATATTCTGCTTGTTATGGGTTGAATGGTATCCCCCAAAACTTACCTATGGTCATATTAATCCCATACCTCACAATGTGACTGTATTTGGACACCGGTCTTTCAGGAGATGATTAAGTTAAAATGAAGTCTTCTGGGTGGGTCCTGATCCGATGGGAAGAGGTTGCTGTTCTGACTAGAAGAGCTTAGGACACATGCATTTACAGTGTTGAAAGACCATGTGCACGGGCAGAGGGGAAGATGGCCATCCACAAGCCAAGCAGAGAGGCCTCAGAAAAAACCAGCTCTGCTGACACCTTGGTCTCTCACTTCCAGCTTCCAGCATTGTGAAAAATAAAGTTCTGTGGCTTAAGCCACCCAGTCTGGTATTTTGTGAGGGTAACCCAGGAAAAATGAATGTAGTTACAGTTATAGCCCTGCAATTCCAAGACTGATTTTCTGTCTTCTATGAGGTTTTGTGAATTTCAGGCTCTGGCAGTTGTAAATTTTATTGTCACCAGCTTCTCTGGCTCCTGATTTATTTCTTCTGACTGCTTGTTAGGTAGATAGAGTGGAAGTGGTAAATGGATCCTGAGAGTTTGATGAACCCCAGATCATCTGAACTCCGAATCTATGCCCTTTGTAGTTCCATGTGCAGTGTAAGAAGCATTAGACTGTCTGTGCACCTGTGTGTGTCTCTGTATATGAGAAATGTGTGTGTGTGTATTTGTATGTGAGAGATATTAGAACATTGTACTGGTTAGAGGAGCAGACTTTGGTACCAGATAGAGCCTAACAGTTCCACATTTATTAACTGTAATCTTGGGCAAGTTATTTAACCTGTCAGGGCTTCAGATTCCACATATCTAAAATGAAAGCAGTAATAGTCCCTTCCATCAAAGTGTAGTTGTGCAGATTAATTGATCAGAGTATTTAGAATTGTACTTGACATATGAAAGTGCTAGGTAAGGGATAATGACCTCTGTTTCATAGGCATGTTGTGGGAATTAAATTAATAAAGCAATAGCTTTGAAATACCTTACATGGTGCCTGGAATAAAAGTAGGGACTAAACAATATTCCAGTAATCTCTGTAGGGTAGTTAGGTTTTACTCTCTAAGGAGAGAATCGTGAAGTGAGGATTGCAAAGGCACTTAGAGGTCAATGAGTTTAACTGTTCATGGACAGATGAGGATAGTGAAACAGATCAGAACACAGAACTGCAAACTCCTTGTCTCTTCCTCTTCCACTTCAAGGCGATTCCTCTTTGTTTCTCTCCTTTCTCCTGCATGAGGGAGAATCGCATTTCATACAGTCAGTGGTAGAGGAAACCAGGCACTGGTA